ATCGCTTCCTTGCGTCCCTTCTTGTTAAGCCTCATGCTCACACCCAGTTCTCACAGTAAGAGGCTGGGACAGCCCTAACAGAGTCTCCGGTCATAGGTATTTGCTGACTGCAAGTATGAACCCATTGCAACTCTTAGCACCAATGTGCCAATCTTGTCGTGTGGTGGCTTGGCAAAGCGATGGCTAGTCCCCGGCTGGCGGATGGGCTGGATCCTAATTCATGACAGGAGAGACATCTTTGGTAATGAGGTGAGAACTGCTGTGTTTCTGTCACAGCATAAGACTTGCATGGTCTTCAGTATGTGAATCACCAGGTCTTTAACTGATACAGGCAGGTACTGCTTTTTGCTCTCACGTGGGTGTCACCCAAATGTGCTTACCTGCTTTTCTGCTGCTCTTTCATGTCCCTTCCTTACTCCATCTGCTCCCACACATGGCCTTCTACCCACATCTACACTGTAACTCACTCCATGTCTCTGCTCATTAATATATGCCTTGTCCTCTTTCTGTTCTTCTAACTTCCCAAATAGCTCCAGTGTGCACTGAAAGTATTGCATGGCTTATCGGGCTTGTGGAGTCCATGTGTGGTGTCTATATGCTCTTACATGGTTTCTCTTAAAAGTAAGAACAAAGCACCTTGCAGTGCTGCCAGTACTTTATCTGGCTATTTTTCAGCTGTGTTACAAGGACAACCATCTACTGCAGTGACCTTTCCACCTAGAAGGCTCTCTGCAGAGGAAGAGGGAGAAGAGAGGACCAAATGAGTGAGCAGAAAAGCTAATGTTGATTGTCCTTACCTGGCTTTGAAAGTGTGGATTGTGGGCACAAGCCTAAGGGAAATGCAAAGTTTTATTTTGGAACAGTTCTGGCTTTATTTGTATTATAAATGTTCCAGCCTGGTTTGAGTCAGATTGGGAAGCTCCAAAGGTTGTCTGTGTTGGCATTTCAACCTGCAATGGAGGAACAGGGAATGACTCTGTAAATAGTCTGCTAAACCTGGCAAATAGTCAAACAAATGTTCTTTAGTACTCTGTATGCTCACTGAAGAGAAGGGTGTGAACAGCTGTAGAAATACAGGAAGTGAGCCTTGGAGCTGTTCCTTTCCTTTAGAAAAGCATCATCTAAGCAGCAAGTATGATGTTTTCTCAGATCAGGGATGGCCTTCTAAGACTGAGTCAAAGGATCCTAGGACCCTGTACAATTGTCCAAGGAGCACTGGAGCATATCTTGAACCGAACACCACCTGAGTTCTACCACAACACCCTTAGCATCCTCAAGGTAAACAGGCTGTTACAGATCAAGGTCTGTTCACAGATTGTTTGGAGGGAGTCCTTTCTAGTTCATCATTCTTCCTCTCCCTCCCCGCACTTGGAGGTGCAGTTTTGTATGTGATTAGGGTGACCCAAGAAATCAAATTCCAGCAGGAGACATTGTAAGCGGCAGAAATACTGACTGTGATAAGTTTCAGGCAGCCTAGCACTGCAGCTGGAGCTGCTGACCCAGGGGGTGGAGTTTGGTACTGACTCGCTGAGCTCAGCTCTGTAGCACCTGCTGTACTCAAGGCCATGATCTCCCATGCTGTTTGCATTTGTTGTCCCTTTATTTGCCGTAGGCAAACCTGTTCATAGTCCCAGTCCAGTGTTTGGCTTTCAATCACCAAGCTGCTTCCTGGAATTTCTCATGTTTTGAAATTTCTCCGTTTTTGCTTTTCAGTCTAATGCTGACCTTTGTTATGCTGCCTTATCAGCTATCCCTGGCCTTCAGCCTGTCAGGCCTGCTGGAGCCATGTACCTGATGGTAAGTGAGGATTGCCAACACTCACACTAGGTCTGGTTGCCAGAGCTAGTCAGTCTTTCAGATTGGTACTTGCCACCAGGTCTCCATTACTGTGCATTTTCATATTGCCCTGTGTGGTAAATGCATCACTTGCATTTTTGCATTCTAATGTGACCCTTGGTCACATCAGAAGTGCAGGATATGCTGTTCACTGCTCACAGAGCAGAGGCCAGCACACTTAACCCACTTGCTCCTGCACAGAGCTCCATGACTTGTACTTTTCAAGACAAGGCTGTTTTACCTGGATATGAAGCCGGCTGGCAACTGGAAGCCTCTGTAAAATAAGGCAGATTATCATACCTCCTGTAGAAGATGTAGCCTTCTTCATACTAGCATGTCTGTCTTCTGCCTGTGGTGTTGCCTCTTCTTCTGCCTTTTCCCATGCCTGTTTCTTTTAAAGTTTATAATATGCTGAAATTTCCTTTTTCATCTCATCAAGCTCAGTTGAGACAATTATGACACTTTAATACTTGTTGTTAAAATATTTTATTTTATTTTTTTCCATCTCATAATGTCTTCAGTTTTTCATTCACTCTTAAAATGTGGACTCAGAACTGGACAATACTGCAGTATCTGTCTCACTTATTTCTACAGAAAAATCCTTATCACTTGACCCTGTTTCAAATTTTACCCAGTGCTACACAGCTAATTTTGCGTATGTTTTTTATGTAGAGGCACAGCTCTAAGATTCTTTGACGCTTAATGTATTTCTACAGTAGCTGACCGTCTATTTCAAATTAAATCATGTGTTTATTTTTGTTTTCTACTAGCTCTTTCAGAACTTCTGTATGCAAATTATCTTTCAAATTATCTGTTTAAGAATACTTTCATGAAATGATTAAAATCTTCTTTGGTTATAAAGGTCAGTCTGGATGGGGCCCTGAACAAGCTGATCCAATGGGTGGCAGCCCTGCCCATGGTGGAGACATTGGAAATAAATGAGCTTCAAGGTCCCTTCCAATCCAAACCATTCTAGGATTCTATAAACAAATGGCCAGAATAGCACTGTTTTTGTGTGAGAGATGGACAGCTGCCTTCTTTCCAAATACAGAAATTAAATATTTACTGAAGATTTTACCATTTTCATGTCATTTTACCACTTATATCATCCTACAAGGATTTATTTTGTTCATGATATTCTAGACCTTACTATATTTCTTTTTATTTTAAACCAAAGCATTATGGTTTTTTCTTGCATGACAGGATTATTAATGCATCTTGAGTTCTCTACCAAGCTCTGTCTCAATGTCTTATTTATTCCTTTTCACTTCTAATTGGTTACTGTGTCTTTTCTATGAGGTGTTTCTTTACTGAAGTAGCGTTTAACTGAAATTCCATCTTTAGGTAATTAATGAAAGCTTTTTCAGAAGCCTGGTTTTCGTTTATATGTTTCTGTCTTGCATCCCAGGCAGCCCAAATCATGAGCAAAAATTGAGGGCAGACAGGTGCACTTGACTAGGAAGTTGTTGGGCCATGCGTGTAAACAAGGACACTATAGACCGTTTTGGTGCCCTTGATTGCCATGTTACATCCCTTTGATGCAGGTTGAGATTGAGATGGAGCATTTCCCGGAGTTTGAAAATGATGTGGAGTTCACTGAGCGACTCATCTCGGAGCAGTCTGTGTTCTGCTTGCCAGCCACGGTGAGCCTAACACTGAGATCCCCAAGCAGCTGCGAGGCCAAAGCGTGGTGGAAGAAGCGGTAGGGGTTTGCATCCCTGAGCTCTGAGGACAGGCTGGGAGTTGCTGGGAGTATGCAAGTGTCCATGGCCGATAGTAGTGTGTAGGAGCTGCCTGCCAGCTCCTCGTTCTGTGTGTGGCAGTGTGGCTCACTAACAGCCCTCAGTCAGGCTTCCAGGATCTTCCCAACTCCATACTCCCCAATACTCTTGAGTATTTCTCAAGATCGCAGAGCTGTATTCCTGAACTCCATATACCCCCACTCCTCCTTGCTGAAGGTGCTCCCTCAGAGGAGTGCTGCCACCTATGTTCCTTTCCTCAGTCTGTTTCCAGTCCCCCACCCCTGCAGACATAAGGAAGTCTGAGAACACCTGTGCCTTGCTTTCACTTCCAACACTGGATATGGACAGGGCCTTAAATATTCTCCAGCCCTCTCCTCCGCTAACTCCTTTCACCCCACTCCTTGCACAATCTAGTCTGCACAGTTCACACAAAGTCCTCTGACCTGTCTCCCTCACAGCATCATGTCAACACAGATGGAGATGGGAGATTTGCTTGGAACAGGAAAAACAGTCTAAGGGAGCAAGAACCAAACTGTGCTGTTCCACATTGACCGTATTCATGTGCTGATGCAGCTCATGGTGCCAAGGCAGGGCTCTAAAACTGGCACTATCCCAGGTGATCTGCCAGCTTCATCTTTTCTCTTTTCAGTGCTTTGAGTACCCAAACTTCTTCCGCGTAGTGATCACCGTGCCTGAGGAGATGATCTTGGAGGCCTGCAGTCGCATTCAGGAGTTCTGCGAGATGCACTACCAGGGTGCTGAGGGGGGCCAGGATCTGGAGTGTGACAAGTAGCTACAGGTGGTCCCCTGCCTCTATCAGGCTTGACCTTGTATGAGGCAGCAGCCAGGCAGGCAAGGCTGCTTCCAGCCAGCAACACCTCTCCTTGCCTGTAAGCAGCCGCTCTCCTGCTGCTTCACTTTTTGTGCTCCACAGATTCCTCAGCATTATGGAAAGAAGACACTTCTCTCTCCTCCTCCACCAGAGCTTGCACATCCTCTTGCTTCCAGTCCCTCATCTCTCTGTAGACTCAGCATCTGTGCCCTGTCTTGGTTTGTGCTACCTGTGAACCAGCTGCAGGCAGGGACAGAAGGTTATTCCTGGGTTGGGCCCTCTGGCAAAGGCCCTGTTGGCCTGTGGCTCCTGTGCTGGCCACACTTCCCCCTGGGGACAGGAGAAGGTTGCTGTCTTGGAGGATAAAAATACCCACCTCTCACTTCCCTATGTTATCTTAGGAGACCAGAGCTCTTTATACTGAGCCCTTTGTGTGATAAAGGGAGTAAGTTATTGTAACTTTTTTTATTAATAAAAATTCTGACATGGCAATCCTGCACTGTCCTACTGTTGGGCTTGGTCATTGTGTGGGTCACCTTTGCTCAGCCCATGGTACTGCAGTGCCCCAGGCATGTCCCTGCCTGCCCAGGGCCATCCTGTGTGCCAGCAGGGGTATGGTGAGAGTGATTCAGGCCCCCAAAGAAACCCACACCCTGAGAGTAGGATGGGCTGTGCAAGCCTGACAGACTGGAGCCAGCCCATCTTGCCATGATGATGTTGTCAGATTGCTGTGGCAGCCTGTCCACTCTCCACAGAATAGTCCTGTCTGCTCCTTCTCCTTGGCCCTCAGCCTCCCCCACTGTAGACCCCAGCAGAGCAGTGGATGCTCTGCTTTCTGCTGCAGGGAGGCAGCTATCCCCAGGACTGGAGCCAGCCATGCCTAAGTACTCAAGGCTTGGCATGCTTTTCCTGCTGTAGTGCTGAATCGTGGGGTGGCACCCCATGGCTCCTGCTGTATGTGGTGTTTGTGACATACCAGCAGTACCAGGGTTACTGATTGCTGAATACGTCAGCTCCATGAAGTAATAAGGAACTGGTGGCTTGTTGTCTGTTTATTCAGTGGAAATGGGAGGGGATGATAATGCCCATTGCAACACGTGTTCTAGTGAGATGCTCAGGAGCTATTTCTGGAACTGTCAGAGGGGCAACTTAATTGCCACCTTAAGCTTTGTTCACCTGTCCTCCCACAGAGTTGGGACCCACAGGTCAACCCTGCCTCTCCAATGGCAGGAAAAGTGAGCTAGCTCTAGATTACCCACTGCCAGTCCTGCCAGATTCCATAACTGTCTAATTGTCTCCCCTTTCCTTGCCCGGTACAAAATCTGGGTAGCAGATTTTGGTAGAGGGGAGGGCTAAATGAGAAAGATACCACTGTATGTAAAGGTCTTTGACACATCAGCTGAATGTCTATGCTAAACCTTCATCTTTCAAAGAAACCAATCCCAGAACAAAAAGAGAAGGAAGCTGAGGCTATGGGTGAATGGTACACAGCTTCGGAGATTTCATGCCATTAGACCTTCAAATAGAGCCAGATCACCCGAGCTGCTTAAGAAAAAACATTGACAAGTAATAAGCAGGGTGGTGTGTGAAGATCTGTTGGACCAGGAGGCCTTTATAGCATGTTGGTGCATTGTTATGCCATCTTGAACCTACTACAATTTTCAAGTACCAGCTGCTTCCTTCAACTCTTCTCCGTGTACCTTAGGTTCTGTGGCTTTAATACCTATTACTAATAAACAGATCCTGGTTTTAGAGAAAGCTGATCCTTTGAGATCACTCTTCTTTCAGGAACCCCTTTACTTGTGGAGTCCCCTTAGAGATGTCTGTTAACATGCAAATATTCTGCAATAATTAACACAATCCTGTTTCTTTTGACCCAGCAGCATTTGACTGGGAAGACTGAGAGAGCCAGAGACATAGGCATATATATACCTCATAAATATCAGGATATTTAGATTTCTCAAGGCCACATCCTCCATTGTCATCTTTTGTAAACATATCACTGCCTTTTGACCACACCTAGGTTTTCCCTGATGCAATAGCAAACTAGCACTAAACCGCAAATGTGCTGGTATCATTTTTCAGGTATTATACTCACAGATGCTTTGCGTCATAGTGTGGGCGTAGGTTAGTGACAGTCATACAAACTAGCCTAAGTTGGAGTTTGGAGGTACTCTGTGCCAAAGAAAATCCCTTCAGCGTGGAGAGCAAGGAAGAAGTCAAGACATCTCTTCCACAAGAGGATCTGAAGCTGCTCTTCTCAGACAAGATCTGAAGAGCTTTAGTAGACCTGCCCCAGTGCCCTTATAACTGACTGTGGGAAAATAAGGGAAGATTGGCAAGGAGGATCGTAAATACACTCAATTGTCTTGCAGGTGAAGTGTAGAAAAACATATATATTATACTAATTGTTGTTTAGTCTTGTATGTTTGATTAGTGGTACATTTGTCTTCAGATAACATAGGCCTGTGCTATACATAGAGCCACCCCACTGAACATGCTTGACATTTCTGCTTTGCTGCAGTAAAGATCAAATCTCAGTTGTAAACTATGCCTGTAATAATCCCTGATATACATGTGAAAACAGCAGCTTTGGTGATCCTTGAGCATCGACCAGACTCCACAGTGCTGGCATCCCTGTTTGTGTGCCTCTGCCTGGGTCCTGCTTTGAGGATCCCCTGGTTGGTGAGGTAATGGTACTTATTTTTTTACCTTTTTTTCTTTTTACTTTTTTTTTTTTTACTTTACTTGGTGTTTAATCTGTGTTTTTGTGTTTGTTCCTGCATCCTGCCTGTGCTGGCTCACACACCGATCGACAGCCATCCTCCCTGTCTTAGCTGAGGAGCAACAGTGGTATAACCTGGCACAGGCTTGCATCGTGCATCTGCTCTTTTCTGTGCTGTCTGGGCCGGCCATGATTTTAGGACCATTTTTAGGATTTGGGTGATTTACCTCAGTTATGGAGACTTAGGCAAGGAGGCAACCTCATGCCTAGTGCTCTCTTTGGGAAAGGAAGGAACTTGTCAACTTGAAGTGCCATCAGCATCCAAAGGGCCTGGTAGTAGGTTCACCCCCGACAGGGAAACCAGCACTGCAGGCAAGCTGGGACAAATTGCACCTGCCAGCAGTGAGTCCATCAGTTCCCCCAGGTGCTTTAGGAACCTCAGTGTAGCCTGGCTTCCAGCTCTGACCTTGCCTACTCCATCTTCCAGTAACCCTGACTGCCTTCAGCAGGTCTGTAGACCAGAGGGGTCCCTGAGGGTCTTCCTTCCTTGGGACTATGGCCTTTGGCTGCAAGAGCCTGTCTACACTAGCCTGCTCTCTACCATCACGTAGCCATGCTGTACACCTGCAGTGGGAAGATGTGGTTTTCACTGATTTGGACCCAGGATGGTTGCAAGGAAGCAGTCTGGCGGATGATGGTGGAGGCCCTGGTGAACCATAGCCCAGCCTTTCCGGGAGCTCAGGTAAGGCTTGAGCATTTCATGGCAATGGAACCCCAAGGGAAGGTGTCTGTGAAAAACTTTGTGTCTGAGGCCTAGCACATAACCATGTTCTCCCAGGGTGTGCTGCTCTGTCAGAGGCCAAAGGAGCTGATCTTTGGCTGATATTATTATTTGACTTGCCATTACCCACCAGAGGCATATATAGGTTTCCACAAGCATGAGAAGTGGCCAGGAAGAGACCATGGATGTAAGAGGAGGTGGCAGCAATGGGCTGGGAGACAGTACTTGCTTGACATGACTGGGAGGGATTTTGTAAACCAGAGTGTGAGAGGAGCTCTGCAGGAGAAGGAAGGCTTAACATGGTCAAAGTCACGCCATTGACAGGACAGCCACACAAGACACATCCTCAGCAGGGTTCCAGTAGCTACAAGGCACCTACCAAGCTAGCTAAGCTTAACAACTGGTCAGAACAAGGTTGAGGTTGTATGTTCTACACTAGCCTTCAACCTCAGTCCCCAGCACTGGAAGAGCCTTCCAAGGGGCAGAAGCACTGGGATCTTCCTCATAGTTTGGCTGTCTGGCATGGGCTCTTACAGTGCTGGGAGCCCAGATCTATACCAGCTCTTTGCTTTGTCATATATTATCTTTGTTTTTCTTATTTGTCTTGGGTCAGTGTTCCCTGAAGCTTTGCCAAAGCAAAGAGGTGTTGTCAATAAGTCTGAATGACTTATTTCCTGGATACCTGACAGAAGTAGTTGGTGCTAGCACAGGATATTCTGCACTCCAGTGCATTGCATGGGCTAGGCATGTTTCAGGTCTGCTTGTTGCTATTGTTTCTCTCAACTCTAAACTAGCTGCTCTGCTCCAGCTTCAGTTCCTGTGCTGATTTCTGGCTTTAGACTACCTATGTACATAAAGAAGGCAGAAGCTGACCAGTGAAATTAATTCAAAAATTGAATAAATACCTTTTTTCTTACTATTTTTCCCGTTACTGTAATGTGTTGGTAAAGTATTATGTGACCTTCTTTCTCTCATGTGTTCTCATTTTCCTGTTCCTCCACAACTTGATATTGGAGTGCTGTACTACAATGGAGACAATAAATGATACTGCAACTGTTTGAGGATGAGAGAAGGACAAGGTCAGCCACTATCCTTGCTCTTGCCTAACATGACTTTGGGTTCTTATGTGCCAGTTCATACAAGTCTATTGATCTCAAACTGCTTCTAAATAAAAATATAACTTTAAAACTTACCTCAAACACAAGAAAAAAGCCACAGGCACACCAGCCTGTCCTTGAAGAGAAGGCACCATATAGGACTTCATATCAGTTATTTTTCCTTGTTCTGAAAGGCATACAGAGCAACATCTGCTCTGGCTCAGGAAGAACTTGCTCCAACTGGAATTTAGCATAGGCATTGCACCTCTGCTCCTATGCATTCTGGAGCTTCCCTCACTGCTGCATTCTTTCCATCCTCTATGAATGATGATTTCTAAAGCAACCAGGGTGACTGTATACAGCACCCCTACCAAAAAAGGCTCTTTTCTGAAAGCAGAGTTCCTTTCTGTTGCCTTCATCCCAATGAAAGTAATGAGCAATCGACATGGAGACTTTTTTTTAATTTTTGTAGATTACTGTCAAGTTTCTTTACTGCAAGGAGCAGGGTTTTTCCTGTGTATTTCAAAACACAATATAGCGCTACTCAAATCCACTGATCAGCACAGGAGACTGTGCATAGCCCTCATGTGAGCAGCAACATTGCAGCTTTGTATCACACTCAGTGTTGTAGAGCCACACATTTTCATTTTCTTCAGCTTCAGAAGTATAAGCTAGAAAACAACTGAAATCCTTCTGCTTTGAAAGGGTAACATTTGCCAATGCATAGTCACAGCATTGACTCTTACAGCAGATCCCCAGCATCATACCTTTGATATGCAGAAAATATGAACTATCCCATCACACACACATGAAAGCGATAGAGACTTTGACAGCATGATTGCCATGAGCTGCTTTAGATATCAGCCTGGTATGAGTTGTGTTCTTCAGGGCATATAAGTGCATATATTAAAAAACTTGTATAGCTTGAAGACTGCAAATAGGGAGAAATTACTCATTGTCTCTCTTGATTTAAAAAATTGTCATTATACCAAATACAGTTTTTATATGTAGGTTCACAATAGAGGAAAGTAGTTCTCACAACATGCAGCTAAACATACCCATATTGCCAGGAAATACTGTTGATGCCAAAAGTATCTAAGTTCAAAACAAGACTGGGAAAGTGAACAGAAAAACATCTAGGTGCTATAAAATACAACGACAAGCTTGATCTGATTTTAGACAGCTTCTGTGTCTACATCACTGTCCACTCTTGTCACAGCCAACAGAAAGAAACAGGAGCTTCCAGGGCATCACTCTCTAGCTTATTTTGGACATCTGCATTCAGAGAGGTGAATTATGTACTCCAGATCCCTGGCTTCAGGGAGGAAATGTTTTTCTTTTCCTCTTCCTTAGGCATCTCCTCTAGATAATGGCAGAAGACAGGGCATGGGTTTAGTCAAACCTTACAGCTGATCAGGTTTCACTGCCATAGGTGTACCTGGTTCTCTCATCAGCTGTCAAAAACATGTTCTCAGGTAGGGAGGCATCTCCAGTGTAAGCACTTTTACTGGTGTTAAACTCTAGTCTACACCATTGGCATTATTCCTCAGCCTACTTCTATTGCTGCTGCACTGGGTCAGGTGTGATCTGTTTATGCAGGCTTGGGAGCAGAGTACATCTCGCTTACTTCTTCAGGGTGTAAGAAATACAAAGTGTGATTGCATGGGCAGTTCACAGAGCTCACTAGTCTCTGAGTCCACAAAGGGAGGGTAGAAAATAGAAATGTGTCATTCCCTGGACCTACTACAATAGGCCTGTGTCTTTCCTGTGCTGAGGACCCTAGAGCTGGATGTGGTATTCCAGGTGGGGCCTCACCAGAACAGAGTAGAGGGGAAGAAACTCCTCCTTCGTCCTGCTGCCCACACTGCTGGTGATGCATAGCCCAGGACATGACTGGTTTCTGGGCTGTCAGCACACATGGTTGGCTCATGTGAAGCTTCTTGTCCACCAACACCCCCAAGTTGTTCTTTTTAGGACTGATATCAGTCCATTCTCCACATGGCCTGTATGTGTGCTTGGGATTACTCTGACCCCATATGCTTCTGCTTTGCATCATAAAGCTTTTGAGTGAGATGTATGGGAAGCATGATGTTTGTTTTCAGGAGCCAGAGGTTTCCTCCTTCAAGTGTCACTCAGGAAATACAGTGTGCCAGACCAGTTTGTCCTCTCAAATCTCAAATCCAAGAAAGAGCATATTCTCATCCTGTGCAATTACTCATACCACAGAGGATGCCCTGAAGAAAGCTCAGACAAATAACTGGAACGTGGTGTCTATACAAGTAGAAAAAATCTGCTCAACCCTTTGACAAGATGACTGTGCAATAGTATTCAGTGCTGTCAAAAAGACATATTGATGCCAAGGGATCAGTATATCTTGGGCAAACTACATACAACTGGAACTGAAGTTTTGATTCATCTCTGTTTATGTAAATGTTGGCCAGGGGGGAATAATCCTTCAGGAAGGGCCACTCAGGTAGTGTGGTCTTTACAAAGGCCTAATGGCATACAAGGAAATCCTGTGTGTCAGTGCAGGGCATGGGAACACATAGCAGAAATCCAGGTTGCACTGAACATTGTGTGGCCCTCCACAGGGCCCTACCTGGACCACTGCCAACTTCTCACCTTGTTTCCCAGCCCAGGGTTACCAGGGCTTGACCATCTGTGTTTGCAAAGCAACAAGTGAAAGGGAACATGACCTGCCCCATTCAGATTGTCCCTCCTGCTGGAAGCACCAGCCTTGCCCAGATTTTTTCTTTTGCTGTCCCCTATACTCCACTTGCCCTGAGAGCAGTAGTGAGGTCCTTGGGAACACAAAGAGGACACCATTAAGAGGTCTATATCTGTCCAGACTGTGTGACAGAATCTATGAGATCCAGAATAGGAATGACCCAGAGCAACTGTCTCTGTGTGGAAGTATTTCTCTTGAGCCCGGTGCTGCCCTGTTTCACTACCTTACCTGGCACAGTCCCATTGCAGCTCCAGCACCCCGGTGAATCATTAACAGGCCAAGTCCAGCTGCTCCTTTCATAGCTTGTCTTTTCACACAGTTTTCTTTCCCAGCCCCAAATGTTTAATTCAAGCAAGGTACAGACAAAGAGGTAAAAAGATTTTATGTGAAACGGCATCTGCTGACATGGCAAGCAGCCACAGCAATAGTAGGAAAGTATGTACTATCTGCACTCATGGTAGACAAGCTGGTCCTCCTTGCAACTTGCTTGTCCTTTGCTCTGACACTCTACAGACATCCCTGCTCCTGCTTTTACAGGCAGCAGTCTCTTTTGGGGCCTGCAATAGGAGTTAAAAAGTATCTCTGTCTCCTTCATGAACTCTCTGGCCCTACTCCTTTACTAGCAGCACCTAGTCATTCACACCCCTGCAAGAAACTGCCATTTCCGTACTTTTTGCTTAGTGCAGGGTGGAGTTTCCTATTTCCAGGCTGGTCAAAGTAGGCGGGCAGTATAGAGCAGTCAGTCTTAGAGCTGGGATGTGCACAAAGAGGACAGGAAGGGGCAGGCACAGGTGTAAGTAGGAGTTAAGTACATGTGTACGTGAGACCCCAGCATGAAGGCAGAGTGCCTGTACATGAATGCACAGTTGTTCGTGTGACTGCCTGGAGGCGTAGGTACCACAGCAGTGAACGTGTGTGAGGGCAACTTTGCTTGAATCGGGTCTGCTGGTGCTTCAAGAGGACTTGTTAAGGTGAGATTTTCAACCATTTCTTGCTATCTAGCATGGATGCTCTTGATGCTAGCAAATTGTGACAATTTTCTGCAGACAGAAGCTGTGGGTCTGGCTTAGAGGGTAGTTCCTGCTTCTCCAGTCTTCTCAGTGCCCCTGCTCAGCTTTCCCACTAGTGACAGTCATGCCAGCTGCTCGCCTCTGAATGGGAAGATGACTTCTAATTCTGCAGAAACTGACCAGGCCAAATTGAAGCAGCATTTGAAAAAACTATGAACAACCATCGGTGCCATCAAAGACCAGTGACTGGAGCTTCTCTGGTGCCAGATCCTCTTTGTTATACTGCTGCCATTACAGCAATGGGGAACCTATACCTGCTTGGAGAACTTCCTCAGACTGGGAGCACACTCAACATTAGTTTGCATAGCACAAGGTGGTTTTGGGCTGTAACTGTCTCACACCTGTCAGAGACATGCTGACATTCAATAAACCTGTAATCTGGGGATATGGCGCCCAATGCTGAGTATGTTTCATGTGTTTCATGGGTACATTTCCCTTGGGCTGCTTACTGCTTTCTGTAACGCTTTCTCTTTGCCAGGATCAAGCTTTTCCAAGGTTCCTGTGTGCTCCTGGAAAAGACTAAGACTGCTTTTTTTTTTTTTTTTTTTTTTTTTTTTTTTTTTTTTTTTTAAACAAGCTTCTCAGGCAGTATTTTCATACCTTTGCTGTGGGAGACGCTAACATGTTGACACTGGATTGTTGTATTTTTGGGTAGCTTCTACATTGCATCCTTTGTGCCCTGAGATTCTTCCAGTTCTTTCTTCTGTCAGCCAATCTTGGCTCATCCCTGTTAGCACACAGTAAGAGTGTGCTTTTCTAGTTCTGCAGCTGAGATTGTCTCAATCACTTTGGGCTGATCTTTACTTGGCAGCACTGTGAGGCCTTAATTTTTTCACTTTTGCAACATGAAATTAACTCAAACACTGGTGACTCCAGACATTTGCTGTAGAGAAAATGTGGTTAAGCTTGAGACCTTAGTTTAGAAATGTCCCAGTTCCCATGACTGAGAAATACTGTGGTGAAAAATAAGGTTATATAATTAGTATTTCTGTCATATTAGGGAATGTATGATAGTATAGTATGATGCTGCTCTTTCATTCCTCTTCATCAGGCACACAATTCACTTCAGTCCTTCTACTCTGTGGAACAGACTTGTGATGGCAAGTCACTCTGTGAAATGTCTAAAGCACCTTGATTTGATCCGAGATAAAAGTATACTCTTGTTTCCTAAAAAAAAAATTGATTCCATTCTCATACTCAGGCAATTCACATGTAGATTTCCAAAGAAACAACTATTTCTGTGGTTTTAAATCTACCTGGGTATCTACCTTTATGCCATTGTTCATGTCTGCTCAACAGAGTTTTTCTTAATTAATAGCTTCTGGCTATATTCCAGGAACTTTGTCAGGAGTTAGAATAACAATATTAATGGTGCCAGATGGAAGTGACATTATCAAAGTTCATTTGGAAGCCAGGACTTTTGGTAAACACTGCTTGTATTCATTTGGAAGGAAGAAGCTGATATATCACTTATTTTTACAAGAGTCTTTGCAGCTCTTCCTAGGTTTGGTCCAAATAGCAACCTGGATCAGCTCTTTGTCAGATCTGAACACTACAGACCAGTTGTGTAACCAAAAAAGGGCTTCTTGTCCAGGAGACGAGAATGATGTGGTCCCTCACTAAATGCACAGCCCCATCCTTGCAAGACATTACTAAAGTAAAATTCATATTGTGGTAGCACCTATTGGCAACAATCAGACTTGCCTATTGTTCCTTATTCTGAGAAATTATAATTGCTGCCTTATAAACCCTAACCTCAGCACAAGTGCACAGCAGGTAACTTAGATAAACAAGCCAATTTATGCGTATATTTTGGAGGCACAGATTAGTACTGTTCCTCGTTGGTTAGCAGCAATGACTGTATGAATTATCAGAAGAGGCACCCCCACGGAAATTAGTCTAAAAGCTCTGCTGCAGAGGAAAATTGTGGCAGAGCATAAGGAGGAGTTAGGGAAGCTTTGGGAACATTCATAATTACTATGGACCCAGATGACGTGGCAAGCATGTAGCAGGGAAGCAGTGTCTGCTTTGCAGCTGGTTGAGTCAGTTTATACCTCTGCTGCTTGAGTAGGGGGGCTGCTGCTCTGCGTGGGCATAGCTGCTTGAGTCTTGTGCAATTGTGGACTGCACAAAAGCAGTGTACAAAGCTGTAAGGGCCTGGGCTCAGATGCTGCTCTGTCTGGGATTAATGTTTTGCACTAGAGGCCCTGCTCTGTCTGGTCTTGCTGTGCATTTCCCTGGAAAGACTGTCCATGGCTAGGAACCAGAAAAGTTTTTTCAATTTTAGTTCACCTTGGAAAACATAAAGTACCTGCACTAGCAAGAGAGATCTGTCTCTATTGTGGCACAGCTAAACGGCCAACCTGGCAGATGGGGAGCACTCCCTACTGCCTGGGATTCAGCGCTGCCCAAGGAGCCTGTTCCTAGGGGTGACCCATGCTGCAGACACCTAACCTGTATTTGAAGCACAGTCAGGCACTGCTGGGGGACAGAAGAAGAGCACACAAGACAGGAATAATTGGTAAAGTGTGCTTTAATGTACTTTAAAAAAAAAATTAATTAAATATTTCTGCCTCAGATCCCATCTTCAGTAGTGTACTTCCTGCAGATTCCTGTGCCAGCTGGTATTCAGGCTATGAATTCTCCCTGTGGCATTTTCATGCCATATCCCCAGTGGCATGAAAATTATTAGACATTTTCCAATAATTCAGCCATCCTCCACAGGAAGAAAAGCAGTTTGATAAGCAGTTTGATATATGAAACAAGGAGCCAGCTTTGGGCAGACCTTTGAGTTCAACTAGCACATTCTACATTCTACATTATCTTCTCATAAAAGACCTACAGAATGAGTGGGGTTAGAGGAAAGGATAGCAGGTGACAGTCTTTAAGAAGGAGTTAGGCTAAGAAGGGGGCTAGTAGGGCAGGTAAGCAGTTAAGCCTGCCTACAGAAAGATGAGTCTTTCTAGCAGAATTGCCTACAAAGTTCAGTCTGTGGAGGAGATATTGTTGTTCTTGCATTTATTACAGTGCTAAGCTTCTTCCTTTGGTATGTGAAGTTTTGCCTGTGTTGACAATAAATATTTCCTGAAATTTCAAAAGGCGCATAATCAAAGGAAACCTACATTGTATGTTTTCAGCAGCATTTTGGCATTAAAATAATTGTAAATATTGGTCAGAGTAGGTGTTTAAAAGTAAAATGTGGAACTGTTAAATTCTCCACAGAAAGTGAGGTTTTGCATCTTTACATCTGTCTTTTTTTTTTTTAATAAAAATTGCCAGTATCCTTTGCAGGGATTATGTGCATGAAGTACATATTTGTATGTACCAATTTACTTCAGTGCACTCAACTAGCTCTTAAATGTTGATAAAAATGCAAACAAGCTTTTCAGTATCTTCTAAGACTGTATTAGAATGGGTTACTGAGAAACAGTGGTTTTGCTGCAGAAAACCTTCAGCCCTGCAGTACTCATGTCCTTTGCAAAGACCCCTTGTGCAGTGGTTGCCACAGTGTCACTAGTAATGTGGCAGCTTTCCAAAATCCTGTGCCTGCAGAGATGCACAGGAGTCTGATGCACCACATCCTGCCTTTTTCATCATCTTGTGATGCTGAACTTCCTCTGTCTCTGCAGGTCCCTTGCAATCATGGTGAAGTCTAGAAGAGTGCAGGTGCTCCTGATTCTGGTAGTTCTGTCCTTCCTTCTGATCCACTTCCTACCCTGCAACTACCATGCCCACATGGAAGAAAAACCTTCTCCTGTCCACATCCTCATTCTCTCCTCCTGGCGGTCAGGATCCTCCTTCACTGGACAAATCTTCAGCCAGCACCCCAGTGTCTTCTACCTCATGGAGCCTGCATGGCATGTGTGGGTTACAATGTACCAGAACAGTGCCAATGTCTTACACATGGCAGTGCGGGATTTAGTCAGGTCGGTCTTTCTGTGTGACATGTCTGTGTTTGATGCTTACATGTCTAGCCAGAAGAAAAAGTCTGATTTATTTCAGTGGGAGACAAGCAGAGCCTTGTGCTCCCCACCTGCCTGTGACTCATTCAGTCGCAGTGACATAATCACTGCAGGCAACTGCAAAACAATCTGTGGCAAGTACCCATTCAGCAAGGTGGAGGAAGCTTGTAAAACCTATAGCCATGTTGCCATCAAGGAAGTTCGGTTCTTTGACCTGAAAGTTCTCTATCCGCTTCTCACTGATCCATCCCTGAACCTCAAAATCATTCACTTGGTACGTGATCCTCGGGCTGTGTTCAGGTCCCGAGAGAATACAATGGCAGACCTGAAACGTGACAGTAACATTGTTGTGGGGTCTCAGAAGACAAAGGGAGAAATGGGACCCTACAACACAATGCAAGTAATCTGCAAAAGCCATGTTGAGATATACAAGGCAGGAAGACAGGCTGCTCCAAGCTTCCTGAAAGACCGGTATCTGCTGGTTCGCTATGAAGACATTGTCAGAGACCCGCTAGCAAGGGCTGCTCAGATGTACAGGTTTGCAGAACTCTATTTCACACCAGAGCTTCAGAAGTGGGTGCACAACATCACCCATGGGAAGGGTCACGGAGCACAGGCCTTTGATATTGGGTCAAGAGATGCACTGAGAGTATCCCAGGCCTGGAGAAAGACACTTCCTTTCCAGAAAATAGAAAAAGTGCAAAATGTGTGCAAAGATGCAATGGATTTGCTGGGCTACCGCCTTGTTCAATCTGAAGAAGAGCAGAAAAATATGTCTCTGGATCTTTTGTTTGCCCAGAACTCCTCTGAGTATCAAATTCTGAAGGCAGAAAAGCTGGTCTCTATACCTACTCTCTGAAGGCTGCAGAGTGCTGAACTGTTCACTAGAGCAAAAGAGGATAGAGGTGCAGGCATAGAAGTGTAGGAATGTGTGCATGGATGTGCATGGATTCAAGGACAAGTGGTACAAGAACCCTGACTACATTCAGGAGAGCTCTCAGCAGCACAGGGTCACTCTCTAAGACCCCTGGAGATTCAACCACAATGTAGGCCAAAGTAATGCAAGTTTGTTTTCCAAATTAATTATGTTTAGGTTGGAGCATACAGAATGTCAAACGAGTAGGACCAGATAGCAGAAGCTCAAACCCCCTCCACAGACCACAGCTGAAGACTAGGGAAACCACATGGAGCAACTGTGCTGCAAAGGAAGAGGAAATATAAAAGGAAGCTGAATAAAGAAACCTATACTTGACATGCTGCCACGCAGGATATGTAGTGCCAGAAAAGACGTGAAGACAACCAGACATTTGGTTTCTGGAAGGATGTTGGGAATTGGGTTGTTTTTTTTGAATGGTTGAGTTTTCAAGACCAGTTTTCCTTTTGCTCCATTTGTGTGCCTGAGTATCCACCCTTGGTGGCAAAAGTAGGGAAATGTTTGTGTTCACGTAGTGTATAATGGGAAAATGGAATAAACCAGCTATTGCTGAAAATAGTAACTCCTGAGTTTTCACATGGGAAACCATTTCTGGGATTATGTGAATCCATTTATTTTTTAGCTGAAATTATTCTGTCTTTTAGCTTTCAAACCCAAGAACAGTTGTTTTCCTGGGAATTCCCACAGTCCACACGGGTGACAGAAGAATTTGTGCTAAGGTTGAGATCCTAAAGACAAGGTACAGATACAGATTTCATTGGCATAAGTACCGAAACTGAGAAGATAGGTTAGCAGGAGCGGATTGAAGAAACCAAGAGAAGATCAGGAAGTTGTCCCATTGAAATATTTGGTGAGAGTATTTCTTGTCTTGGAGCACAAAAGAATGTTTAATGGACTATGCTATTCTCCACTGCCTCCATTGGAAACGCTGTTCTCCCACCTCCAATGAAATATATCTGGTTCAAACATGAACAGAATTGTTTTCACCTGGTTTTAAGTGTTCTAGAAGACAAGGAGAAAAACTTGTTACCAGATCTGGGGAGGAGTGAAGTGCCTGCAGATACCTATTACTGAACATCCTCTCTCATGTGTAAATTGCAGTCTAACACATGTCTACAGAACACAAGCTACCTTAGCAATATGGGTATCTGTATTTCTAGAGCTAAACCCCTAATTCCTGAAAAGGGCAGGATACCGTATTATGGAAATAATAGTGTTATTACTAGGGATCTTGTTGAAGGACAAAATCCACGCTGAGCAGGCAGCACTGGAATCATGGTAGTAAGTTCTCTGAAAGCAAGGTAGCTTTCAGCATTTACACTGTGTTTATGCAAATTTAGGGCAGGCAAGCTGACATAGAGAAGTGGGAGTTATACTGCACCAGAGAAGCACAGACTCACTGTTTTTCTTTATAGTCTTTAAAACAGACCTTTACATATTCAGCTAAAAGCAGATAAAAGCTCATTCTCACTGAAGTCATAGTAGAGAGCTTCCTACTTTAAGTGCCAAGAAGCCAGATTCTGAGCAAAAATAGATTCTTTCCAGTACACTGCTAATTATCCCTACATTAACCAATGTCAGCTTGAGCAGCTTAAGTTTATTATGAATACTTGTTTCCAGTGGACACAATCGTGTGTCTCAAGTGTTTACCTGAATAAAAACCTTCAGTGTTTCCAGTCAGTAAAAAAATTACATGAAAGTAACTTATGATGCATTTCCCTAATGTATTGTTTTGAAAATTACTTTCACTTCTGCTTCCTAAGCTTAATCAGAGAAAATGCAGAGAAAACGATTGTTGATTTCAGTGTATCTTTATTACAGTCCTTTAGGTATGCTTCCTCAATACAACAATTTGTAAGATTTTCTTTTTTTCTGGAAACAGCAAAGTCTGTTGCCAGTCTGGTCACATGAAAATTTAAAGCTGTCTTAATGCGAGCAAAGATAACTTAAAATACTTTCTGAAGGAGGAAAAAGAAAACAAAACCCCCCCAAAATCTCAAGATGCTGATGATGACATGTAAAAACTATGACTACATCCCTTGGCATATGCAATAAAGATCACAGAAGTCTGTTTAGAAAGAAACATTAAGTTTACATGGTACAAGTTTAGAAGAGTAAACTGTATTTATACCAATGAAATGTAAGTCTCCAGTCAAAAGGACATTTAAAAGCTAAATCTGTGGTATTCCTGTCTGTTGCTCTTCAAACTGGTGCATAACATCAGTTTTTCATTGGTAACTCTAGTTATGAAAGCACAGAAATTAATTGATTTTGATGAATGCTGGGTAACTCTAAAAGGAAGCAAACAGGAAATACCCAAATTCCAGATAATAGTTTGCCGACCCAGAATTTCTAGCTGTAGAACTGCCTTTAACTCAAAGTTCTTGTATGTTGCCACTTTGCTCACTTTTCTAGGTATACGAATATTGCTCCAGGCAATAACAGATAGAAACTTCTTTGAGCTACAAAAAGAACCTTCCTCATCTTTTGTGATAGTACAGGAACCTGAGATAATTATGAAAACCAAACTCTCTCCAGCATGTTGAAAGGAGCGTAACTGCGTTGTAGGTAAAAAAGCACAGAAAACAAGGATTTTTATCATGGGAAAAGACAGAATCAGAAGTAGGACCATATGATACAGCGTCATTTTTGAGTCCTCCAGGTTTTAATCTAGTAAAAGAGACCTAGACCTAAGTGCATGCACAACTAAGCGTACCTGCGGAGTTCATAACAGATGAAAGAGGGCAACACTGAGTAAACTGTAGTCTTTGTGTCTTAATTCATACACCTACTGAGTGCACCAAGCACACATGGGAAGCATTAGAACATCCCCAGCATTAGAAAATGTGTCCATACGGCTCTGTGAAGGCAAAAACACTCTGTGTGGTCTCAGAAGTTTGCATTGCACCTTAGACTAATTGGCCCAATAAGACAAACTCATTCTTAAAATAAAGTGCCACATAGAATTATAAAAAGATAGAGTAAGTCTGACCGTTTTATATTGCAGCTATTTAATATGTTCTACCTCTCACTTTGAATTCTAGAGCAGTTTTGTTAAACAGGACCATTGCAATACTATGGTGCTGCCAAGATGTGCACACAGCTCAAGCTAGAATGGGAGTTTTCAGCTGCAAGAGGTTACAGGTCTCCTGTTCATGAACTTGGTCCACGATGCTGGTCATCAGCAAAACTTGCATTTCAAACCAAGCTGGTAACATTTCTACTTTAAAAAAAAAAAAAAAAAAAAATTATTTGCTATGTTGTCTTGTACTCATTAAGTGCTTGTCTGGGCTCCAAACAAATCTCAAATAACTGTTCAAGGTCTGAATAGCATGACTATGCCAAATAATTCTCACTTTTCTAGTCCAGTGAAACACTACATAGTGCTGTTTTAGCATTTATTTGGTTACATCCTTGAATAATCAGTAAGTGTTGCAGTGGCTTCCTGAAACAGCAGTCTGGTTATATAGTTTTTTATTTTCAGTATAATTTTAATTTGGCTTAACCTCAGCCATTTCCCAATTCACCCTAATTTTCTGAATACCACAGTGCAATATGCTAAAAACCCAAACTGTTAACTCTTTAGAGAGGTAAAAAAAACCCAAACAACAAAAAAACCAAATGAACAAACAAACAAAAAAACCCACAAAAAAAACCCCATAATAAACTTCACCTTTACCAGCCCATTTTATTTCACCAAAAGAATGAATTCCAGATTTTTAGGACTCACTTCAAATAATATTAAATAAGTGACCAATTTCAGGCTAAAGGTACTGAGTTTTTCAGATTATGACTGTATCCTAGCAACGGCATTCTCTCTCAACCACAACTTAGGTAATAGATACAAAACCTCTGATCATTCTCTCTTAACTTTCATTTCCTACTTGAACTATTATTCATAGCCCTGAAAGCTAGTGTACTTTTCCCAACTAGAATATATGGCCTGGTACAAGCGTTACTTTGTTTGGATTAAAGCACCTGCATTTCTTAGATCTGTAGAGATGCAAAATAGGTCTTTTAATGCAAAAAAATTCTTTAAAGCATTTCTGAACTTCAGAACTTTGTCCTCATTAACTCTTTCTAAACACTATCCGCTTTGCTACATTTTCAGCTCCAAATCTGGCTATCAATTTATTTCTGACATGTTCATCATCCTTTTGCAACTCTAAATCATCCTCTCTGCTCCATACAGGGTACCCATCCAAGCGCTGCCCTGTCTGCAGAAAGTATGAAGTAGCCTCCACATCACCGCTGTTTTTCAGAAAGGCCTGTGTAACAGTTAACAGGTCCACAGCAAACTTCTCCATGAAGTTCTCCATAGTTTTTATGACCTGTCCCACCACAGTGCTTTTTGCCTTTGGTCTTTCTTGCCTTTGTAACTGAATGTCAGGGAAAGCAGAGTCCTCTGGCCCAGTTTTCAGATCAGATGCTGTTTCTTCTGGGAACCTTCCCACTCCATCTTGTGTAGAAAGTTGTGCAACATCCGAGGAGTCACTTTCTGACTAAGAGTAAGAGAAGTAGAATCACTAATTAGACACGGTAGTTTCTGGCAAATCTTTTAGCACTGCAACCAAATACCTTTTACTCTGACTCTATAGTATATTAAAACCTCAGAAATTACTAGGCACAGTAAAAGTTAGTGACTGAAGCAAAGCCCTATCTGTTAATGAGGCTGCACATGATCACAGGAATGTGTGAACTATAAGGAAGAATTGGAACAAACTAAGCATAAAAGGCAAAAGTGTTGATGCAACTGCAGAAAGGTCTTTTATGTGAGGTGAAAGGCTGACTTCCATTTGCCAATACAGCTTTAAACGTGACAATCCCCATCGCATAAACCTCCTCCTGTTAACTTAAGCAGGGAATCAAGAAAAAAGGCACCAGCGAGGCACCATTTATTGCAAACCACGTAGGCGGCAGCTCACAGGAACCTTTAGTTTTGCCACAGAAGGGATATCGCGGTGCAAACTCATTTCACGCGAGTTTTTATCGTGCCATCTGTGACACCGAGGAAGGCCCGCCCCGAGCACTGCGCGCAGTGGCGGCTACTGCTCCCCAGGCTGGCCCCGGTCGCTCACCTCCGTGCTTTCGAACTCCCGACTAGCTGCCGCGAACAGACCCCTGATCTGCGTGGGATCCTCCGTCTGCGGCGGCTCTGCGGAAACACGCGGGCATCGTCTGCCGGGCTTCAGCAGGGCCCGGACCCACGCTCGCCGCCGCCACCAGGCCCCCTCGCAACCCTGCCCCGCCGCTGTGGCCCCCACTCACCCCAGAGCCGCGGCCGCAGGTGCCGCAGGTAGCGGTCACGCATGGCCTGCCAGCTGTGCCGTGTAAGGCCGCTCCGCTCCAGCTCTATCCACAGCGCACGGCCGCTGACCCGCACCGTGCCCTGGCCGCGCACCGCCTGGAGCAGCGCCGCATCCTCCGCCTCCGTGAAGGCCAGGCGGCCGCGGGCGGCCAGCAGGAAGGGCTCCAGCGGCAGCCGCTGGTTGCGCTCCACGCACTCCGTCACGTACTCGGTCGAGACGGCCCCGTCGGGAGCCACCTCGCCGGGCTGCGCCAGGAGCACGGCTCCCGGCTCCTGCACCCGGCACAGCCGTCCCCCGCCCGCCAGCACTAGGGGTGCCAGGCGCAGCTTGGCTAAGCCGGGCCGCAGATAGAACCGCATAGGACGCCCGTCATCCCACAGGAACAGTGATCGGGACCGCGCTGCCCCAGCCTGGCCGCCCGCCATCGCCGCCCCAGCTCCGCCCACCGCCACCACCGTGTGCGCAGGCGTGCAAGAGTGGAAGGGAGGTGGCAGCGCGGAGATGGCGGCGGCGGCGAGCGAGTGCAACGCGGCGGAGATTGAGTCGCACCTCAGCAAAAAGTGAGGGCGGGCGGGTGGTCAGGTGGGGCCGGGCCGGGGAGGTGAAGTGTATCCAGCCGGCCTGGTGCGTGTCTTCGTCAAGGCGCCCGTCGGAGCGCCATGCTGAGCCCCGGCGCTGCGCGGCTCCGCAGCTGGGTCTTGAGGGCCGCGCCCGCGCTCCGATGGCAGCAGGCACTTCATGACCAAAGCAGGTCGGTGCTTTGCGTCTGGCTTGGCCCGCTTCTTTCCTTATGGAGTCGTGGAAGGCGGGGTCAGGAGTGCGGCGGGAGCCTGAGGGCCATGGGGAATAGGCTGGACCGCGAAAGTGGCTTCGGGAGCCCTACGGTACTTCAGAGGGAGTTTGCCTTCTTTCATTTACACTCTGCATAGGGCTGATAGGCTCTTAAATGGAGTGCGCCAAGCCCTTGAGCACGTAGGCACGCGTCCTCGAGGTCTGTCTAAACTGTTTAATTCCGCTTTCACTTTTGACGGATGTTTGTATTGTTGGGGACGAACTGAAGGAGTTTAAAGTAGAAAGTGATTAAACCTGTTGAAGAATTATTTTGGGAAAACTAAGAAAAGTGACAGGGTTATTTGTTCAGCTAGATTTTGGCAGAATCCTGCCAATCGTTTCCCTGTAGAAGTATTAGAGTACTTCCTGCATCCAGTTTCCTTCTCTTTTGCAGTGAGCTGAAGAGACGTTTAAAGGCAGAGAGAAAAACAGCTGAGAAAGAGGCAAAGCAGAAAGAGCAAAGTGAAAAGCATTCAAATAAGCCTTCCTTGACTTCTGAGGATAATGTCGGTACTGATGAGGAGAGCTTGGATCCAAATGTGAGCATCTGGTCCCATGCCATATTAGATGTT